GTTTTTTGGCACTACTGATTCTATTAATTGTACAATGAGAGTATACATTTCCATTAGAGGCAAAGTCTCCAATTGATTTAAAACCCCACCACACTCATCAACAGTCACAGAGACATACAACACAGAAATAGACCCTTCAGTCCAACTCGTCCATACCAATCACATTTCCCAAACTAATCTAGTCCCACTTGCCCGCGTTTGGTCCACATCCCCCTAAAGCTTTCTTATTTATGTATCTGTCCAAATGTCTTTTAAATGTTGTAACTGTACCTATATCTACCACTTTGGCAGTTCATTCTACATACGAACCTCCCAATGTGTGAAAATGTTGCCCCTCAGGTCCCGTTCAAATCTTTCTTCTCTCACCTTAAAAATATGCCCCCTAGCTTTGAACTCCCCCAGCCTAGAGAAAAGGACCTTTGCTATTCAACTTATCTATGTTCCTCATGATTTTATACACCGCAATAAGGTGAACCCTCAACCTCTTATCCTCCAGTGAAAAAAGTCCCAACCTATCCAGCCTGTCTTTATTACTCAAACCCTCCAATCCCAGCAACATCCTGGTAAATCTCTTCTGAAGCCTCTCTCATTTAAATATATACATCCTATAGCAGGGCGACCAGAACTGTATGCAGTACTCCAAAAGTGGCCTCACCAACATCCTACACAACTCCAATACTCAGTGGTCTGAGCAACGAAGGCTAGCATCCTAAATGCCTTCTTAACCACCCTGCCTAACTGTGATGCAGGTACTTTGATATTTTGGAGCCACTTCCACTTTCAACCAGTTCTTAGTCAGAATTAAATATTTACCCCTACAATCTGAAAACTGCAAAATTTCAGCAATCAGTTCTTTGTAAGTTTCAATGACCTGAAAAATTACTTTATGTGGCACTATAACTATCATATTAGCAGCGTGCAATGCTTCACACTATCAGAAATATAAAAAAAATTAAACATGGAGCAGAGAGGTTACATACAGTTCAGTTGAACTATAATGGACAAAATAACTAGACAAATCTCATGCCTATAAATATTAATGTTAAGTAAAATGAGCAAAGGCCAGAATAGAGTATGTGTTCCTTGAAAATACTGTGCATGGAGAATGACACAGTAACTGGATTGGCAATTCTGTCTATGTTGAACCTGTCATTCTGTTTCAGATTCAGGATGAATTGAATCAAATTGGTGATGTGATGCGCGTCATGCAAGTCTGATATGATGATTGATTGAGTCTCAGAGTCAGTATTAATTACTTCAAACACAGAAGTTAGAATAAAGAGTCAGACTATTCAGGTCAAACTGACTACATTGGTGTTTACCTTCTGCATGAACAAATATTCTCAATCACATTTCCCTGGCCTATTTCATCTTTTCCTACAACTACCCTACAATCTCATTCAGAATGTCGATAAAATTTCTGGCTCAACTATTGACCCTGCAAGTGGGTCCCCAGCCTGATAATTCTCTATGAAAAAAAAATCTGCCCTTTGTTTTCAATCTCAAACATTTAACCTTATGTCTACTGTTTCTGTTTCTACACTTCTCAAATACGGGGGAAAAGCTGCTTCTATTTCTTTTGCTGTTCCATAATTTTAAATGATTTATCATGTTGTTTTGCAGTATTGTACTCTCTAAATTGTTGGTCATCAGAGTCACCCATCCAGGAATATTTACCTTTGTGGCAAATACAAACAGTGACATATTATACTCAGTTAGCACTTGCCATTGTTTTTCCACATTGGTAGCTGTGTTTTCACTAAGCATTGAGAAAATGCGCTGGTATTACACCTTATGAGAACACTTCTCTTTTGTTTAAGTAAATGCAGCATCTTGTCAACACCAAGATACTTTTTTATCTGTGTAAATTTATGACATAAATGTATTACCAAGAAAAAAGCTTACTGGAGCACTTTATTTAATTGCTTGAGAAACAGGGAAACTCTTTATTTCAACTGATGTCGGTGTTCACAATTTAAAACAAAGGCGACTGTCAGAAGTGATTTTTGAGACCGTCACTATTCTTTTATTTTTCTTATTTTTTGGTTTGAAACTGTGAGTTGAAGTTGAGAATTGAATTTTGAACAGCTGCTTATTTTAAAAAGGATAGAACGGAGATAGATGTTCACTGTGGGGAATTGGCCTGGAAAGATAATGCAGGTTAATTGCTGCTCTGAGGATACCATAAATGATTAGACACTAAGATGTTGCTGTTCTCAGGGACTGGCAGCTGATTGGATGTTGAATTGGCCAATCAAAGAAGGATGAATGCTGGCCAGCAAGTCCCAGAGACTGTTGAAAAACAAAGAGAAAACAAAGCACTGGTTCTGATTGGGTTCTGAGTAGCAGGCAGTTTTATGTTATGGAAGCTCTGGACTAGACTGTTCTTGTTTTGATCTCTCCCTCTGATTTTATTCCAATTATTGATTTGTGGAATGTTCTGAGAAGAGAAGCCCAGTCATGGGTGAATAATTCCGGAAGTCTGCTGAGGCTGTTTCCAATGATTGGTGACCTTCAAATTCAACAAAGATGTACTGTCCAATGAGTCTATCAAATAATCCACTGTCCAAGAATTTTTACAAAGGTGTGGCATTCTTGTTGAGATGGTTATCAAACTGGCAAATTATGATCCTTTTATTTTCTTTTTTAGTTTATCCCTTAACTGTGGTCAGGAGACCCATGATCCCCAGGATTGTTATTGACATCTTTTCATGAGCATGGCTAAAACCTTGAAATGTGGAAGCCAAGTTTAAATCTAGCCAGACTCTGCAATTTGCAAACTGCCGAGCCGGAACAGATGGTATTCATGCAGCCAGATCTTGGACAGTCAACTTCCCGTTGTAACCAGACAGGTCTGGATTGCCTGGGCAGGTGCTAACAACCACATTGTTTCAGAACGAACCGTTGTTTCCACCTCCAGTGAACCTGCTTTGTTAGAAGAACGTTAGTCAGACTTAATGGCACCCACTCAGTAGGATGCCAGAGGCATAGCGTGACAAGGACAAGGAATGACAGCTGAAGGTTCAAAGCCGTGTTCTGTGACCTCCACATATGCAAAGTAGTCACCTCCCTGGATCATCCTGTCTCTGCCTGATGCTAGTATTGGACACAGGCCACAATATCGTAGAGAAGGATATGTAGAGGGGGATTAAGGGGCAACCTGGAACATCAACTTATGCCACTTTTTGCGCCTTCTTCAACGGTACCTTCGACTGGCAACTGAGCTGTACAACATCTCCAGCTGCTGTACTGTGGAAATCTGGAGCCTGGACACTGACATCTCTCGAGTAGTATACAGTGGGGAGAGAGCATACTGCATTACAACTTCCTGAAAACATTCTCAATACAGAACCTTCATCTGTGACAACCAAAGCACCACTTACTGCATTAGGCCCCACATACAGGCCAGAGTAGGACTAACCGAACTCATGCACATACACAGGAGAACTGAGCTCTTCGTTAATGTCAGTGCTGGTCTCTGACAGACTTTAGGAGAGTATTTGGAAGAATACGACACTGGTATTGAACTCCTACCAGAAGACTTACAAACAGGTCCAGACACAGTTAGCTAGTACACTCAAAATGTTTGCTGCTGTAGTCCAACAGACAGAACAAGTATAAAAAGACATTAAAGAAATTGAAGTCACTAATTGGTGGGATGACTTTGGAATTGTGGCACTAATATACAAAGCCCACTTCGGTTCACCTCCTATCACACCTTGCTGTATTGTTCATTCTATTTGCTTTAATGTATATAACCAACCTAGCAATTAAAGTTTTTAAGTAGAAGGAGGAACTTGCTGAGTTCCTGAATGTAGGACCAATGCTCAGCAGGAGCAAGCAGAGAGTTAACATTGGGTACTGTAATTTATCATGATTCTGGACATCTTATAAATAAGTTGACTACCACTGCTGTACTGACTCCACTTTACCATGTATATACTTATTTGTATAATATTTAATAATCAACTAATGAATATTTTCCTTCATTTTTTTCTATTGTTAAGTACTTCCATATTATTGTAAGATAGTGTAGTTTGGTGTTAGGTATTTGGACCCTTCACTGGAAACCTGGTAGTTACTTCCACAATGGCATGGACAGTGCTATGATCCAACTCATGGACAAAGTGCTCCAACATACAGACAACGACCAAATGTAAGCCACTCGGTCCATTAAGCCTCCTCTACATTTCAATAAGATCGTGGCTGACCTGATTTTAACCTCAACTCTACATTTCTGCATATTGCCGATAACCTTTCACCCCCTGGTTGGCAAAAACCGTATGGTTTACAGTAGTATTTTTTGAATACATTCAAGTGGTTATAAATAAGTCAACTCAACTTGGGTTCGAAGACACTCAAGGAACATGGGAGTTTTTGTGGGAAATAGACAGGTTGAAGATTAGCCGTGATCTCACTGTATGGTGAGGACGTTTGAAGTCAATAGCCTACTCCAGATCCTTTTTCCTGTACTTAATTGATAAGACTTCCTTTCTTTGACTTTATTGGCCCTCCCTTGCATCTATGTTACCCTTATTGATCACCTTGGATATTCACTTCTGTTTATTTATCCTTCTTCTGCTGTCGTTGGGCTGTCATTTCCCAGGTACCACTGGATTTCTCCTACATCAGATTGTCATCTGTTTTTGAAACAGCACAATTCTTTATAACAACACTCAATGTATCCACACACATTGCCATTGAAGGAGCTTGTACAGCAGCAATGGTGAGATGTTTCAACTAAGAGCTTCCAGCTACCACACAGTGCACCCCTGAGTTGGTTCAAGTTCTCATGTACTCTGCTGTGACAGGTAGCTCAAACTTAACAAATATACTTGGTGGTCTTGTTCCTCATTCATTCACATCACAACTTCAATAAGGAGTTTTCACACCCTTTCACCTTCACCATTACAATCTAACCAGAATTTATAAAATGTAAAATGTTTAACACAATTATTCACTTAATTTAACATGCTTTAGTAAGGAAAATTAACACTTACTGCTTTTGTTAAGTAGGAGAAAGATTCAACCTTGAATCTGGTCAAGTGCAGTTTGGGCTGTGACGATGGTAGAAGAGAATTAACAGTTAAAGACATTTACGGAAACACGGGAACAGGACTAGGCTATTCTGCTCCTCAAATTTGTTTGATTATTCCATTAGACCATGGCTGCTCCATGAACTAACTCCATCTACCTGCTTTGGTTCCATTACATAATACCCTGACCAGCAGCAAATCTACCTACCTTGGCTTTTTCATTGCACCCCTGAAAAACTTGGGCTATGCCTCCTCATTCTGCATTCCCCTTCCAGGGAAACAGCTACTAAATGTCAATTACTAATGGTTCAATTAGATCATGCTTTAAGGTTATAAATTCAAGGGAATGAAACCTTTGTTTTTGCAATCTGTTGCAGTTCCATTCCAATGAAAACACACTATATCTGCTCTGAGGAATATATCCTTTCTAAGGTGCATTCCCCAGTGCTGAACACAGCATTCCAAATGGAGCTAACTAAAGATCTATACAGCTATGACATGAACTTCACTCCTTTCTCTTTCAGTCTTAAGCCAAAGGACAATATTTCTTTAATCTTTACGTTTTGCTTACCTGCTCACAAACTTTCAATGAATACTGTACTAGGGGCTCTACATCTCTGTGTTCCTCCATGGTTCCTAGATTCCTGCCATTCAGAAAATACCCTGATTAAACTTCTTTAGGTGGAAAACGGATGACATTGCACTTTCCCTGATTGAACTCTCTCTACTACAGTTTTGAACACTCACTTAATCATCAAAATTGTTTCACAATTTTCTGTTCCTCTTTGTAATTTTCTGCTCCTTTTGCAATTTTCTTCAGCTTTACTGTCCAAGATAACTTGGTACTGTGAACAAACTTGGTGAGAAAACTCTCTATTCCTTTATCAAAGTCACTTACAAATGTTTTGAAAGCAAAGTTCCAGCACAAATCCCTGGATGACATTTAATTTAACTCAAATAATAGAGTTAGACGATCACTACTTTCAAACTGCGATTTTATCAAAAATATTTGTATGTACATTTCAATAGTATATGTACATTTTGTAATATAGCACTTCTCACACAAACACAGATGCATTATCAGCTTGAGATAAACATATAACTAGCTAGCTCAGCAGAGACCGTTAGATAGAACATCAAATCTATTTTACTAAAACATTTTGTGAGAATACTGAGTACTGAAAATTGCAAAAGTAAAGGAAGTCAGTACCACCAACATAAATCTCCACCAGAATAAAACACTGTTGAGAATTTTCCTTAAGACCAAGCGAGTGTAGTGCAGGAACATGTCTGTTCGGTGTCTTTCTGTGATAGACAATTGCACATCCGCTACTGGCTTGAAGGATGTTACAGGTAGTTCACAAAATAGGGAAGTGGTGGTTACCCACCTTCGTGATGGGACTGAAAGAGAGCAAATAACATAATTTTTTCCTTGCATTAGGAACTGTGTGCCGCATAATTAGTTTCTTCAGATAAACTTGCTTATAACCAGAATTTATAAAATGTAAAATGTTTAACACAATTATTCACTTAATTTAACATGCTTTAGTAAGGAAAATTAACACTTACTGCTTTTGTCACGTAGGAGAAAACCCTATTACATAAAAGTGAGGCAGACTAAATAGATCTTAACATCCAACCAATTTACAGATGTGACATTAGTCTAACATTACGTGAAAGAGAGCAAATTTCACCATACTGCCAACCTGGAATTTGCCAACCTGAATTACTGTTATGAGAATGAATCCATATATTTCTGATGTGGATGCAAAAGTGCTCCCGATAAGCCAGAATCCCTACAGTGTGGAAGCCGGCCATTTGGCCTAATGAATCCACACTGTTCCTCCGATGAACATCCGACCCAGACCCACTTCCCTACCCTACCCCATAACCCTGTATTTCCCAGGCTAATCCACCTAGCCTGCTCCTCCCTGGACACTATGAACAATTTAGCATGGCCACTCCATCTAACTTACCCATCTTTGGACTGTGAGAGGAAACCCAGACAAACATGGGGAGAATGTGCAAACTCCACACAGTCACCTGAGGGTGGAATTGAACCTGGGTCCCTGGCGCTGTGAGACACCAGGGCTAACCACTGAGTGACCATGCTACCCACAGTGATGCCTGTACTGAGTGGGATTGAAAAATACCTAAGGTCCAATAAGGTCCAGTTTTAATCCTGTCTGACTGGAATTCAGCACTCAATGCAGTATAAACTGTGCAAGATTAATTTTGCAACTTAGGTGGACCATTTGAAGCTATGATTTACACAGAAGCTGAGGAACAGATTCCCTGGAATGAACACATAGCTCCACAACAGCTAAAGCAAAACCTGTGGATGCTAGAAATCTGAAATAAAAACAGAAAGCACATAATATTCTCAGCAGAGATAGTATGAACTGCCGATGCTGGAGAATCTGAGATAACACT